CTTTTTCTTTAAATAAAAAAAAAAAAAAAAAAGGGAGGGGGGGGAAACTATTGTTACGAATTTGGTACATAGAATAGATAATTTTAGTGCAATTATATGTCAAATTGTTGTATGTTTCTGTGAAATGTAAGGTGAAACGAATTTTAAGAGAAACTATGCCGGAAAAATAAGAATACACTGGTAAGTGAATTTAACATTGAGTAAATTGTTATCTCAGTAATTTGGCGAGACATCGACAAGCTAACAGCGGGTTTGGCGACTTATTCTGTCGCCACATTTGTTGCCCATTTGGCGACATTTTGGTCCGGTCTCTGTATAACCGTAATATGCACTGAAATTGAATAAATGTAATTGACCACTATATTAGCTGTAACCGTAATTTTACCCTCGTATTGCTTTACAGTACTTTCGACAAGCAGAAAGTACGAGAAATGTCTGTGTGGCCGATTGAAAACTATTTAAGGCCAAACATTTAGTCCATTACGAGCCCGTACGCACGTAGTAGTATTGAAACTCAGTTGATTAATAGCATCTAAAATGTCTCCCATGTTGTTTCCCTGCATTATAACAAAATTTTTTTGCTAGTCTTTGCTCACGTTTCTAATCCACGACAGCAGTTATACTCTGAATCAAAGCAAACGATTAACTGCTAAGAAAATTAGGTACTTACAGATTATCGCAACCACTTTAGTAGAAGTCTTCAGAGTTTCAGACGTCGCCAAACTCTGTCAACCATTTCCATACCAGTTCTTTCGGTAACTATACCAACTGTAAATTAAAATTAGAGAATTAATCGAATCAACTTTGTCTTCTGTAAAAAATCACCAAAACTGCGCCAAGATAGATGCACTAATACGTAAGTACTGAAAATTTTGTACATATGCAGATCACGTTCATCAAAAGAAGCTGAGAGATCGTAGAAAAGGTGCTGCCATTTATCACTTAAGTTTGGTGGATTTTTTTTAAAGTAGTCTTAAATTGTACACATATTATATGTTTAAGGGAGAAATTGTCAATGACCAAAGACCCTTGGAAATATGAATGTTTGATATTGAACTTTCATCCGGATAGAAGGCAATTTAAGTAATATATTTTTACATTTCCCTTGTAAATAAATTTTGTAAGATATGTAAAAACTAATATTGATCAATTTTGCACTCGGAACTCAGCGCGTCATTACAGTCCTCATTTTGATATATTATGGATACAATTACATTAAACTGCAATTATTTACGTTAAGTTACAATAGAAGTTTAAAGTGAAAAATTGGATAATGTTATTTCCATTTACATCCTGTTTTCTCAAGCCTGAATAGTTAAAGGAGAAGCATGTAAAATCACAGATAGTGCGCAAGCATAGTGTTATATATTTGTAAACATTTTATCCTTTCTGATTGCATTTTGTTTTTATGTATTGCAGAATTTTGTATTCTTTTATTTACCTATTTTATTTATTTAATGGTTCTATAACGGTAATTTTCTGCTTTATTTGGTGTTTAATCTAATAAGTGGTCACATGTCTTGTATTTAAGTGTATATGTTTTGACAGAATTGTAGATCTTTTAACTCCGAGTGCAATGACTTTGGAATCTGTAAAAAAGTGATCAACTAAAACTCGAGATATAGTAAATTTCATTATTAAGGGGTCGTACGCTAATTTGGCGACATTTGGTCATTTCTCGCCAGCCTGGCGACTTCCTGAAAGATTCTCGAAAACGCATTTATGAAACCCTATAACGGATTCTTCCAGATGTTTTCTAGAGCTCATGCTGCAGGATATAAATACCAGTCGGAGAGATAGAGAATTCAATTGTGAAATAGGTACGAAACAATACCGAGACTTGGGGGTTAGCTAAATTACGAGTTAGGATTTTACTATAAGAGTGATTTAAGGAACTTTACGATTTATTTCATGCGCTAAGGAAGAATTGCTGAATATCCGTATTCTTTTTGAGTTATTTCCAGCCAACATTACGCTGTGTGTACTATTTACTGCGCCTGCTTTCCTAATAATTTGCTCATTTCTTACTGCCTTTTCGGACTCATTAATCAAAGAAACATCAATGATCTCGTAGCTTACAATAACTATCAGCTGTTTTAACTTCCTTGTAATTTACTATCAGCTGTTTTAACTTCCTTGTATGACGCAAAGAAAGCATTATAATTGCAAAAAATTTCGGTTAGTACATTTCAACAAAAATATCCATTTTGACCTCTCTCAAATCCATTCGAAGAAATTGTGCGTGGCTTCTACGTACGGATAGAATAAAGGACTCTTTTTTGTTCAAAAACGGATTATAAAATTGATTTCAAAAGATATTTTTTCGTGACATAGGTATCTGTCTCGAAAACTCAAACGCGATTTGTACTATTAGAACGTTGAAATTTTGTGTGTGGGCCTGCTACAGCATCTAGTTGTTGTTTAGTTACATTTTTAAACAGTGTTATGTAACATCGAAAGATCTCGAATTTGGGAGAATAGATGAATTTAAGGGAAGATCACCAAGATTCTCCTCTCTTTGCTTCGCCGTCTAAAATGCGTGCGTCTTAATTTTAAGAATCAATGGTCATAGATATTTATCGTATTTCGTTATGATTGAAAAATAGAATTCTCTCTGATTTCATTATGATTGGATAAACATCTATGGAGATGGTTTTGTATACCTGGAAATAAAGACTGGAAATTCGTCAAGTTTGTGTTTTATATCTTCATCTGTAAGACCTTCAGCCGCGACGACTGCAATCTTAATCCCTCTTCTGTGCTTGCTTGTTAGCCCTTTAGCGCAAAGAATTACGAATTTGTACTAACAAATTGCTGATTTTTTCCAATTTCTACCTGCTTTTGACCAGATTAGCACTTTCTTTGATCTTCACTTTTTTGTTTTAGCCTTCAGTTTTTAAAACGACTTAGTCTTGAACAAGACGCCATTCTGTAAGAGTTGCCTCCATCCTTACCATCCCCTTTTGGCCCCTAAGATTTTTCTCCACAGACCGTTTAGTACCATTGGCTACTATAATTAAAAGTTTGTTTTCCCCTTCTACGTCATCTCCGCAATTGGTGAAACTTGACCGCTTTGCAATTATGGAAACGTTTCTTAGGATTTCACCTGATTCCGGAAACATTTTTCGCGATTTTTACTTACTTGACTGTGAAAAGGCAATCGTAATGGAGGCAGGTATGTCAATCTTTTTTCTTCTAGTTTTCTTTAACAAGACCCATTTTATGCCGTATTCTTTTTTCTTTTTTACAAAAATTTATTCTTGGATTTTATAGGGAATATCCTTAAAATAATGTAATTTTTGACTAATAGCTTTTTAGCTGTTTATTTTAATTGTACATTTGCCAACACATGCTACCTTGTGTAGGTTTTCCTTTCTTCAGTTTCAAGTTAATTTTTTTTTTCGCAAAAAATTTTTTTGTTTTCTATTTTGTTATTTAAGTTCAATTTTAATTTAAATTGCAAGCACGTTGGGAAAAGAGACAAAACTATTGAGACATTACTAAAATAAGATCTTTTAATTAAATAATTTTATTAATGAATTACCATTTCTGGTCTCAATTGTTTGATTTGACGAAATGTGCTTATCGTATTAGCTTAATTGGAGTTTTCTCATGCTTTTCCCTTGATAAGTCTGTGCGAAACCTCGAATTGGGATAACTGACTATTTTTCCAATTCTTTGTATATTATTCCTTTGTCTTTAAAAGGTTTTAGATTGTTTGAGAACAAAATTGATGTTTTTTTAGGTTGTTTAAAAAAGTGCTTAGTCTTTTCTAATCTCCAATTTTGTTTTTGTAGATTATATTGTTTAGTAATTATTACAGGAAGTTTTTTCGCGTAAACTTTTACTGCTTTAGTATTGTATTATTGTGTTTACTTAATGTTACATGTGTACTCTGGGACTGCAGTATCAAATTTACTTTAAAGCATTAGCACAATTTTTACTTTCCTCTTCTAGGCTAATATGTATATAAAATTTAAGAAAGGAGAACAAACTAAAAAAGATCTTATATATAGCTATTTTCCCACTATGTTACTCGGCTCGGTGAACTCAGTTTTTTATTCTTAAATGTTGGTAAATTTTTCACTTTTTGCTTTAAAATTGACAGAATTAGGTTGTTCTAATATTCTGATTAAGGTTTTTATGCGTTTAGTTAATCTGCGTGCAATATTTTTAGAATTATCAACAATTTAAAAGTCTGAGTCGCGAGTTAAGCCTAACGAAGCCGCCCATTTGTTTACATTTGGAACTCTTAGTAGAACGGTGAATTACATTTTAAAAAGGAGTTTTATTCATTTGTTGCACCAATATCAGCGCCTTTTTGCCAAGTAAGAGAAAAAATTAATTTTTAATTTTTTGCACAGAAAGTTTTGTCTTCCTGATCGCTGTTGCTTGTTTTCGCGTAGAAATTATAATTTTAATTGCAAAAATTGTGTTTCTTTAATGAAATTCGAGGAAATATGTTTAAAGGAAGTGCATCAAAAATTGTGTAAAATTTTATAGGCCGTATAAGGAAGTCATCTTTTGTCCACATCAGATCTTCAATTTAAAGCAAACAACTTTAACATACGTTTTAACATACGTGAGCGTGTGAAACGCGGAAAGTGATTAAGTTACTAACTGTCCACTCGGGATATGAGAATAAAGAAGAGAAATATGAAACAAAATATTTGATTAGCGAAATGGCGTAAGTATCGCTTCCTGAACTGATTCTAATTTCCATACATTGATGGCACTATTCACACTTTATTTTAATGTTTCGCTACTAGCGCGTTCTAGAAAAGCTATTAGTCCCGCTTTCTTTTTGTAGTACTTGTCTTTCTTGTTGCTTTTTCCAAAATAAAACTTAGAGTAATTATTATCGGCTTTTTTGAACTTGTTTAAAGAAGTAATTAGTAGTAGTAGTGGAAGAAAGTCATATGAAATGCTAATGAAGTTGTATGAATGATGTTTTTTAAATGAATGAATGAAATTTACTTTAAAAAACGAGACAAGACTTATTAACAGTGAAAGTTTTATAAAAAAGTAAATAAGTTAATACATGAGATTGCAAATCGTTTCGCAAGTGACATGAATCTTAACAGTGCAAATATGTACATTTGTTTTATTTACATTAAAGTAGCAAATATCGTGGAAGATGCAGTTGTTAAATTTACAAATAGAGTACTACAGTTTAATATGTAAAAATTCTACATTATTGTACAGTAAAACATTGTAAACAATATACTCCATAAAGGAATAAGGAAAAAAAAGTGGAAAATCAAGCAACAGAAAGTCAACAAATGCACAATCATATGCAAGAAATACACTTAGAAATAAATTTTAGAAGACTGATACAAATACGAATGTATATTATTAGAGCTAAATGTATTTCGGAAAGATAATATGAAGGTTTTTTAATATAATACACAGCAATTACATACTTTTAAACAATATAGAAATATTTCTGAATGTGTAAAAAGTTGCTTGAAATATATAAACACTTAAGACTATTGAAATATGAAAGAGAAATATGGGTATATATAGGTATAGTTAACAAGTAGTTTCATCACAGGTGCAGAAATGTTTAAAATTATGTGAATCGATCTTCGAAGTTGTGAGGCAACTGCGGTGAGATACACGGCCATTTGTGGAAGACCGCTTCTTGTCGATGATGTGGGTCTATACACAGTGAAACATGACTTCATGATAAAAAAAAAAGAGATGGTAATTAAGAAAATCTAAAATGACTACCGGATTTATAAGCGATAATTTATCTAATTAATTGTATATATTTTATACCTCTTAGAAAAAATAAAAAATGATATATTTAGCATCATATACATTAGTCTGTGTAGCATGAGACTGACAACTACATGATAATGTCTGATTTAAAAATTACACACTAAGCAAGTTGACATTTAACAGGTTAAATTGAATCGCGGTACTTGCGTATTATCGCAACCACCTTAGTAGGATTCCTCAGAATTTCAGAATGCTCCAGAATCTGGCAACCATGCCCAAGAATTTGTTGTTTTAACAACCAACGTCGTCATTTTTTTAGCTGGAAGTTCTAATGTGTTTTGTATGGTCATTTATTGTCTTAAAGTCGGTTTTAAAATATGTATTTGTTATATTTGCCTACAATAAAAGAAACTTCGGTAAAATATTTGCAGGAATTTTGCCGCAAATCGCTAATTCAAATTTCTCATGGCCCACCAGTGCCCGAGAGGTAACGTCGCTGAACACTGGTCATTTGGCCCCGGCTTCAAAGCATTTCACCGTGAAATTTTCACCAGATAATAAGAAAAAAATTTAAATATGTATATATTCACCAGATAATAGAAATTTTCACCAGATAATAGAAACAAAATATAAATAAGTTCCCAAGTAGTTTATTGATTATATTTTTAGATAAATGCACAGTTCAAATATAAAATATGCACATAATAAATGGTTTTTATAACAAAACGTCATTGCACTTTTTCTAACATTAAATTCTTCTAACTGCGCCAAAGTGGTTGCGTTAAAATATAGTAAGTACCTCAATCGTTTGCGTACAATTAATTAGAAGGAAATGAAAAACATTATTATTTTTGACACTGTAAATTGTGTGAGTGGGGGGATATTTAAGCTTATTCTTTTATTTCGGAGGGGGAATAAACATGACATTTCGGAAATAATATGAATACAATTTAATTTTTAATTAAATTTAAGTAACAAAATAATATTTATATTGTGCATTATGTATTATTAGGGATATGTGACTTAATGATGGCTTATATATTTAACCAGAAATAACCAACGCACAAAGTAAACAATAAATTATACTTATCATTTAATACTTTATGAGAAATGATTGCTTATAATATATTTTTTTACGGATTGTAATCAAATATATATTATGTATGCTGTTTTGATATATTTCAAAATCGAGTAACATTGTGCGTTCATAAATTTGATTTTTCTTAAATATACCAAGATTTGCATTTGTATTGTATGTTGCCATTACTCATATAAATTCTAAAGAAAAAATAATATCAGCAATTTTCAGAAAATAAAATGTGATTATTTATAATAATAATTGTTTCATATAGTAGAATTAGTAGTACTCTGATAGTAAAAACTGTATAAAATGCTCGGAAAAGCACATTTACAAAACATCAGTTTCTCACGAGGACTACTTTTAAAGAATCATTTACAGAAAATATAGCAATTAATCAAATTAAATATAGTTTAACTAATAAAAACACAGTTGGAAAACGTAAAACTTTTCACATACATAAGTATACTCCGAGAAAGAAAATAATAATAATTAGAAAAAGCTAAAATTTTTTTTATAGATGAACATTTACACTTGCACTCTGTGCTGTCATTATTCGTGTAAGGATTAAAGAAAAATTTATTATTTTTCAGAAAAAAAATGTGAATATTAATAATATAATTATTGTTCTAAATAACTGTGAAAAGGGAGTAGAGTTTGTTGCACTCTGATAGAAAAAGTTATATAAAATTTTCTGAAAAACACATTTATATAAAATCAGTTACTTCGAGAACTGTTTTTAAAGAAATATTTACACGATATATAATAATTAATCAAGCTTAAAGGTAGTTTACCAACTAAAAATTTAGTTTGAAAAACATAAAACTTTTAACATACATACATATACGCTGAAGAAGAAAGTAATTAGTAATAAACAGCTTCCAGATTTTTAATTTGTATAACACTTTCTTTGATTTCAAAGCAGCTACGATTTATTTTTTTAATTTCGTTAAATAAAAATTACAAAGCAAATAGAAATAAATGTCATGCTTATCAAAAAAATCAAATCTTCAAAAAATTAGACCGCAGGGAATATTTAATTAAATCTGAAATGCAAAGCAAGTATATTTGAAGCATATGTTTTAAGAGGAAGTGCCCTGGCAATGACATTTAATTTTAAGCTTGTTATTGTAATAAATTTAGTCTATACATTGGATTCCCAAACAACAGTTTATAGCAGTTATACACTATATTTAAAATTTTGGAGAGTTTAAGCAAGCTGGCTTTACTGATTTACCTTTCAGTAAGTTAACCATAATAGATTATTTTATTTTTATCTTTTAAAACTGAAAACAATCTATCCTCTGTTTTATTTTTAACTTTTAAAACTGAAGGTAACCTATCCTCAGTTTCTAAATTCAGGTTTCGAAAGGGGAATTATAAATATTCCATGCCAAAGCATTTGATATTTTTAAAAAGATAACAGTATTTGAAAAAAAAAACTTACATGTGAAATATTTTAAATTATCAATACATTTACGTGTGTCGTTTTTAAACGCTGTAACATTTTTAATAATTTTTCCAATCTTTGGTATTTTTTAAAATTTAATTAGCATTAGTATCGTATTAATAAGCTGTTTACATTAATTTCAGAAATGAAGGTCTATCACATAAATAAGTCTTCATTATTAAATTCATTGCAAACCAAATCACCTACGAAAGAAGCACTTTATGTAAGCTAAACTACCTTACTAGAACCATACTTAAATTGAGCAAATTGTCAGAAAATTTTAAGTTAAATGTTCTTGATCAACTTTGTTCATGCAGTGTTTTTCCTGGATTAATTTGTTCTATTGTTATTTTTATTGTTTTATAAAAGAAAGGAAATTGGACTGCGCGAAAATGCTTTTAGTCTACAGAAAACTCCGAAATTAATTATTCTCACTCCATGCCAGTCCATATCAAAAATCAATGGAGAGCAGGAGAAGATATTAAATAACTGCCATCTAACGACAAAATACATAAGTAAAATATTCAGAATATTGCTACAAAAAAAACTTAATTTTTAATCGTGCAAAAGATTTTCCAGAGAAAATACTAAAATATTTTAATCAGTTTATTCAAGTAGAGAGATTTTGAAGTATTATTAGATAGTGATATATTTCATAGTTATAATTTTAGTGAATGTTAGTATCTGCGTTAGTTAGTGGAGTCCAAACAAAACGATTTTATCAAGTTTGTGAAAATTTTAATGAATGTGTTTTTTCAGAAATATGTAGATATCATTCTGCTAGTTGTTCAAGGTTTTTATATTAACAACTAAATCTATTTTGATCTACATTTAGTTTACAGAAAAGTACTCCGAAAAATTTTACCTCTGAAAGAAATTTGCTTTTTGTAATTACCATTATGCACTTCTTAAGTAATAGCTATTATGAAGGAGAAAAAGACAGAAAATTTAGCTTATTAGCATGAAACTCTAAAAATTCTAGAAATTTTTTATACATTATTATACAGGTAAATATTGGGAAAAATATCGTCTACATATATTTTCTACCAATAAATATATCACCATTGCTTTATTTAAGCATGCCAAGAAGCTAAAGTGTGAAAGAGGAAAAAACGTGTTGGAATTCCTATCTCACTTCTTTAATCTTCACATCTGGAATAGCAATCAAACTCAATAAATTCGTTTCTTTTTTTAAAAATATAGTCTTTTTTCCGAAAGATGTAGGCTGCTTGGCATTCCATATGATTTTTATTTGATCATCTTGAATACATGCTTTAGTGTCTCTATGCGTCAGTTAAATCGGGAATAGATGCCCATTGTATCTTTGCAGTTGGGACAAGCGTGGATGGTGTCCATGAACCAAGGACATACGAGGGGAACCCAGAAACACGGGAAGCTACAAAGAAAAAATTCAATATATGTAAAGATTCTGTCATATTTGTATTTAAAAAATACGTTTATGAAATATGAAAACATTTTAAAAATCTCCATTGAGATAAAACATTTAATTTTGCTGTTTTACGTGTTTTTTTTAAATTTTTTTTTATTTATTTAAAGAAAAATAAATCCTCGCGTCTGTTTTCTATAATACAATGAAACCGTACACAAAGAGAAAAAAACGCACAAAAAAAGTATAAAAATGTATAAAGAAATCATTTACAATGTTTAAAATAAAAGTCAACAAAATCGTTGAAAGCTCGGTAAGCCGAAGCTGAAGATACAAAATCAGAGCATTTCGGCGGCCAATGAATTCCAATTAATTTTAATCTTCATTTTAATAGATTCCTTGCTTTATCAAGCAATGGGAAGTCAAAAAGCAGGTGGAAAACACTTTGCTGAACGCTAAGACTGCAATAACACAAATTGGAAGATATCAGCTAAATCGTTCAAGATAAAAATTAAACTTACCATGTCCAAACAAAAATTGCGTAACTTTAAAATTGAGCAACAAGTCCTACTTTTCAGCCTTTCAAAAATATTTGGGAAGAATGGTTTTGTAACAGATCCCTTATCAGAAGAGATATAATCACAGTTCCACTGCTCAATCATTTTAGCTTTGAATGTTTTTTTAAATAAGATTTTGAAATATTTACATCAACAATAATATCATTTTTAGTTGCATTCTTAGCAAGCCAATCAGCCCTCTCGTTTCCATAATTATCCGAATGACCACGGACAAATGTAAAAAAACACTGAAATACCCATCTTCTCAAGATCTCTGAGAGACTGCTGTATATTAACAATAATATTATTACATAAAGAGGTATTTTTAAGGGATTCCGGGAAAGAGAGTGAATCCGTACAGATTAAGTAGCTGGAACCACGTCCATCCTGACTAATTATTCACTTAATTGCAAAATTAATACACAGAAGCTCAGAAATATATACAGTACATTCATTTCTAATGAGAAATTGGTGACACTCAATTTCAATATCATCTTCAAAAATAACATAAGCAAAAACAACTTTATCATCAATCCTACTACCATCCGTATACAACACAAGTGAGAATGAATTTACATCAGTGTCCATACTATCCAGAATCTGTACTGGTTGTCTTACAGAAGGATGTGGAAGAACAGACAAGGGCAATAAAAGATCAAAATGAAAATTGGAATAGTTTGAAAGACTATTCTTGTAATCTATAAATGTTAGAATAAACAAATCCAGTGGTGGAAATCCAGCAAGAGAGAAAACAGCATTATAACTAATAGTTTAGTAACCCCTTATAACTCGCAGCAAAATTCGTCTTTGAATTCGTAGCAGGCGTTTAGAGCTAATTTTCTTGTTTAGAGACAATCCCGAAGCTCTACATCCATATGAAATAAAAGGTACAATGCGTTGTTTATAAATAATTGCGCTAACATTTGATTTAATACCAAAACTATTACATGCAATTCGATTCAGCCCACGCTGAAGTCTCTCACATTTATTAGAAATGCAGGAAATATGCTTTTTCCAGTTTAATTTGCTGTCTAACAAAACACCTAAATATTTAATTTCATTCACCCTGTCAAGGGGGATTGCCATTTAAAAGCAATTAGTATCCTTCATAAGTAGTATTTTTTCTATCAATAAACATGATCTTGGATTTTGCATGTTTAAAATTTAACTTAAAATCTATTGACCAATGATAAATGAAATCTAAAACATCTTGGGCGAGTTGAAAAGCTTTTTGCATTTCTTTTCCTTGAATACAAATCAGTAAATCATTTGCAAAGACAATGACTTCCCAACTGAAGAGATCAGAAAGTTTCTGTAAGAGATCATTCATAATAATAATCCAAAGCTTGGGACCGGAAACAGAGCCTTGTGGACATCCTCTCTGAGGTCGACGAACACTTGAGGTGCCACTCTAAAAAGGCTCGTCTTTCAGCAAATCAGAAAAAAAAACATTAAACGCATTATGAGGTATTTTCATTTCTTTTAGTAAATTAATAATAGAGGGCCACCATGCATTATCGAAAGCTCCTTCAATATCGAGAAAAAGTAAAATAGTGTACAAACCTCTCGTCGTGCTTCTCTGTACAATGTTGCTGAGACGCAGATGTGCATTCTCAGCACATTTTTGAGCAATGAAACCATATTGATCAGCACTAAGAATATTTTCTTTATGTAGATGCCAAGTAATTCTGTTAGAAAATAACGATGGAGTTCTTCAAAGTTCGTGAAAAAGCACCAAGATTCAAACATATATTAAAAATTTTTATGAAAAACTCCAGGAAAAAGGCGATGAAAGTATCTTATAGTTTCATTGGGAATAGAATCCGAGCCAGGAGCCTTGTCAAGCCTTAAATTACGAATTACATCATCAACCTCGGCCTGCGGAAAAGGAGGCTCAATCTGAGACGCATAATTACTGCGAGAAGATGAGCGCCACTGAGTATGAAAGTCATTATCAAACTTCACACAGCCAGGAGGAAATGATTTATCAAGAATAGCATCGATAATTTCCTCCAAGGAAGACGTAAAGTTACCGCTTGAATGCCGAAGGCTCGAGATCTCAATCTTCCTCATAAAATTTTCTTTAATACCGTAAGTGTAAATTTTTTTCCACGCATTCTCATTATTGATATCCGAAAGAATGTCAACGTAGTCAATGTAGCTTTACGTAGTTGACATACATAATGAGCAGACACCAACCACATTGACTGCCCGTATAAAGCCAAATGAATCCAAACCCCCTCCCCCACAGAAAAAAAAAATTGCATTTAGTATGAAAAGAAAAATTTTATGTATTATACAGGGAATTTTATGTTCAAGTGAAGCCGTTTTACGAAAGCTTAAAAATGATATCATTTAGACAAAGAGATTTAACATTTATTTACTTGATTTCTTTATCCTCACTGATTGAGCCAACCAGATCACGGTTGTGAGTTCTTTTTTCAGATTTTCATGGCCGCCTCCTAAGTCATTCTTTATAGAAAAACTTTGCTCTTTTTTTCCCTTCAACCAAACATCCCCCGCAAAGGGAATTACTATTAGTCAAATGAAAATTCAAAAATGTTCGATACACAATTACTGATATCTTCAAATTCATGGCTGTATAAGATACAATGCTAAATATTTCTCATAAAGTGCCAAAGAAGTCTCTTCTTGGCCCTCCGCTTTCAGAAAATCCAAGTTTCCAAAGACAGTATCATCCTTTTACAACAAATGCTGATTTTGCCAAGAAATCTAGGGCGCAGCCGAATATCGGTGTGCTATAAATAAGTTAATTAGTGTAGCAGAAAAATAAAACATAATTTTTTCAATCAATAAAATTTCAATTTATACATTCACAGCGAATCACGTTTATTCACAGGAATTTTTCCTGCAAAATATCTATGAATTGAATCAATTTACTGCTTATAAAAACATTGTTTATTATTACGTAATTCATGAAGTTTAGAACAGCTTATATAATTTTTAGCTCAATGTCCTGTCCTAAATGTAGTGTAGAAATGGCAGCTGGAAGTTGTCATGTTCCTATTATGCCTGATGGTCTTCATTTAGAAAATTTTGGCACATTTTATTTAGTGGAATAAAGACCTAGATTTGTGAGTATCATCTGTATTTTCTTAACCCACTTCGAATATATCTTCCTCCATATTCACATCTTCAATATCTACTTCTTTATCTTTTAATTTAACCAGGATTTAAGCTGCTGACAATGTTTAACCGAACACCGTATTTTTCCTAATTTGTTACTTTACTACTAATTCAACTAATTCTAATTTGTTACTTTTAGAACTCGAAGAAGGTTTAGTAATTTAGATAGCGTCACCTGCTGTCATGGTTTATTATGCAAATGGCCAGAGTCGCCAAAGCTTAACCAAAAGCCTGAATAAAGCTTCTTTTGTTGTTACTAATCTCCTATACATTGTTTTGATTTTCCATCATATCGAGTTCCATTTTGAAACAAAAATGAGAGACTCACACTCCAGTACATAGGATTAAAAACTTTGTATAGAAAAGTAATCTGTCTTAAAGAAGCTATCAAAATAGAACGAAAGCTTTTAAAGGAAGAGCAACCCACACAAAGCCGAAGACTATTAAAACGATGTGAAAGTGGGTAATCGATCGATAAAAGAACTGTTTTCAACAGCTCTGTTGATCACCATGCTTCTAACTTTAAGGCAGAAAATCAGTGCTTTGTTTAAATTAAAAAATACACTAGGTTTTCTTACCAGTCATAATTAACTTACTGTAAACAAAAGGGAGCCGTCATAAGACTAATATACTCTTACGAATGTTTTACACAGATAGATAATTTTAGTGAAATTTTATGCGAAATTATTGCATTTTTCTCTGTAATGTAACATGAAAAGCTGACAGAAATGATGCTCTGCTAAAAAAATAAGAATGCCAGGGTAAGTCTATTTAACACTGAGTAAAGACACACACTAGCCAATGAATTAGAAACCAAAGATCACTAGACCACCTTTTGCACGTATAACTGCTCTGATTCGTTTGGGCATCGAATCTGCATGCTTCTAGTGGGCATTTAAGTTCAGAGAATACCGTGCATTCGCTATGCAGTTTTTAGATCTTGTAAATTGGAAGAAGAGTTGGAAGATTGGAAGAGGAGAGTGCTGTCGAATGGCGTCGTTCCACCATATTCCACAAATTTTATATGGGGTTAAAATCCGGGCTATGCTGTGGCCAGGGAGATGTTAAAAGTCAGGCTGATGTTCAGCGAACCAATTTGGAACACTTCTGCTGCGATGTATAGTTGCATTATCGCCCATGAAGTATCCGTCGCCATCAGGGTAAAAATGCACCTTTGCAGAGTGCACTTAATATGCCAGTATATTTATGTATCTCATGACTGTTTCTTTATCCTCTAGGACCACCAGGACACCACTTTCACACCAGCAGAACATGCCACATATCATGATACTCCCACCAGACTTTTACACATTGCAAGTAACCCGGACAAGATGGATTCATGGCTTCATAGGGTTCTCTCCAAATTCGACGTTTTCCATCAGTTCAAAATACGGTGTAGACATTCATCCGACCGCATTACCCGTTCCAGTTCTACGGGCCCACCAGCGGCAGAGCGGTAATGTCGCTGAACACGGGTAGTTCGGTCCGAGGTTCGAATCCCGTGAACGGGCTGGCTGCAAGGGTGTTTTCCCCATGTGTAACGTGTATACGAGGCAGTTTCCCTTAGAAAGTCCTCCACGAAGGCATCCCTTCCCTTAGGCAGATAGCCCTAGTTCTTTGCCATAATTAAATACACCACACCACCACCAATTCCAGGATGTCCAGTGTCTTATTTCCCGACACCACTCCAGACTATGCATTCCTATCCTTGCAATTATTTGAGCATGGTTCGCGCTGAAATCTGTTGGGAACAGCCTTGAATGATGATCTGTATCAGTTGAAGTATAGAGTCGCTGTTGTACCTTAAAGTTAGTCGGAGACGACGCCGATCACCGTGTTGGAAAACTGTGCTTGAACCGCAGTCACATCTTCTGAAGAAGCACTGTGGGTTCTGATTGCAGCTTTTGAAAACCTTTGAGATGGCTGCTTTTGACAAACAAGTGACATTTGCTGTCTTCAAAATCAGGGCCCCTGCTAAACAAGCACGAACAATAAGCCATTTTTCAAATGGTGAAGTATCTGTCGTTTTCCCCATTTTATTTCATTTATTGTGAAAAGCACTCTTACGCCTTACTTACTAGTATTCTAACCATGTGTAACCCACGTCAAAAAATTCGCATACTTCATCCGTAGCGCACATTCAAATGAAAATCTTAAAGGTTTCTAATTCATTGGCCAGTGTGTATAGCTATCTCGCTAATTTGGCGAGATAACGCCGGGCTGGTAGCGGTTTTGACTACTAATTTTTCTCGTCAAATTTGGCTATAATTTGCCGACATTTTGCTCCGGTTCCTAATCCCCGTAATAGGTATTGTAATTGAATAACTGTGATTGATCAACCGCATCTTTAACTGCAAAATCGCGAAGGATCTCCACCTCAAGCAAGTTACCACACCATCACCACAACTCTAGTTTAAACAAACACTGAAAAGCAACTTCCTTCGCAACAATCTTGAAAATATTTATCTCTCAACCGTGAAAATTTAAAATCTCTATAAATACGATTCAACAGGGAGATGTTGATCTAATTAACAATTTTCTTTTCTTCCACATTCTTCGAGACATGGACTTTATATATTTCTACATAGACTTTATATTTTTATTTTATTACTTTATTAATTTTACTACATAGAGACATTCTACATATGAACATTCTTCTATGTTCTACAAGATACGGACTTCCACATATGGTCTTTTATATATATTTAAATGTTGACTTCTACATAAGCTTTAATTTTTTCTTTTACTTTTCTATTTAATTTCATTTTTATTTATATTTTTAAAGTTATTTAAATTTAAGGTATTCAACATTATTATATTATAATATTAATATGTATTCAACATTTCTAATTATTACTTTTTTGTACATTAACCAAGTCTAATGTAACATGTACTCTAAATTCTTATAATTATTGTTATAATAAATGTCGCTGAGCTTCAGATAGTGGATAGTACCCATCATACAAACCGAAATGATGGGCGGCTGCTCTTGATGGTCTTCTGTAGTCTGTAACCGTATCTGGGCCTCATCTGCCGTCCAGTAATTTTGAGAAGCACAAAGTACTAGTATTATCTCGGCGACCGGGTAAAAACTATACAAGACCGGAAAGAACATCAGTTTTCAGTTGTTGTTGTTGCGAGTTGTTAATTCAGAGAGATATCGGAGTAGTCTAGTCTAGTCTAGTCTAGATATCGGAGTATTGAAAGTTTCGTCTTTTAGATACGCTTTGTTTGCGTTCTGAGTAGTTTGAAGTGTAAACTACGTATTGTACTCTGTGATATTGTGAGCACTTGTACGGGTGCGCCGGTTAAAAGTTCCAGAACTCCGAAATATATATATATATTTTTGATAAAATAAATTTTGTCAACCTATCATCGAAATTTTGAGCACTCGATCTATCACGAACCCATACTCATTCAACAATACATTTGGAGGCATTTTCACTTTTATTTATGGATTGGCTTAAAATTTAAGAATATGATCTGTAATAACTCACTGAAGTCACTCAATAAAACTTGAGCAACGATGCTTAAACCTCTAAATCGGGCAAGGAAAGAAAAGTTTAATTTATTTAACGGCTAAAAGAATTAAATTTTAAATGATGCAAAACACCTTTTGCACTGTTTTTGAAATTTCAACATTATTAATTGGTGCTTTTGTATACAAGTCATTTGAAATAGGGAAACCGAAGTAAGAAAAGAGGAGAAGTAGTAAATCATCATAAAACACTAGATCTGCAAATAGAAATGCACTAATAAATCATAACCTTACCAGACAAAAACGCTGAGAATGCAGGTAATGTATGAGCAGGCTGAGGCATGTCTGCTTATCTCGGTAGTTACTTCTTTTCCACAGTTACTACAAGTTGTTACAACTGGCTCTGGCCCGAACAGCGGGTGCTGCACCAACGTCACGGGGCGCACTAAAATGAAACACTGTAATGTAATGCACAGTAATGTGTATTAACAATAGCACTCAAAACTTATTTGACATGATGGATGCTTTTTATGAACTTAACTGTATGCGTTTAACACTGTATGCTTTTTATGAACTTAAGAGATCAAAAATAAGCAAAAATAAGAAATAGCAAATATTTTTTTTCTTTTTTTTTTAATGGAAATGTTTCCAATTTGGTACTAACTTGCAAAAATGTAATGATATAAAATTCCGTTTTGTGTATGATATATCTAACTAGTTTAACACATCTTTGAATCGTCAGTAATTGATATTACGTAAATTGTCTGCTTGAGCATTTATACCGACTTTAAAAGTCATAACTTTTTTTAAAAAATAATACATAAGTGGGAACAAAAACTACAAACAAGGAAAAATAGAAACATAAAATAATCAAAATGATGTGTTAATAATTAAATAAAGAGAAATTAATATTCACACATCACACAAACATCCACACAACCATACAAACACACAATCACACAATGCCAATGGCTTCTTTATCGTTATTAATAATCTTTATAATCTTACGTGCTATTCCTCTTGCCTTAAGTAAATCATTTTTCATGAAATCTATGTTAGCTCCATCAGTGCATCTGGTTAACTTACATTCTGTAATAAAGTGGACATTGTCTCCTACTTTTGTACATACTTTACATAAACCATTATCTTGAACATGGAATCTTTTAACTCTTTCGCATCGAGAGAGGGCAAAATCTCTTTTCCCCAGACATCGAAAACGTCCGTGTCTAAGAATTTCTCTTGGAATGCTTTTCCTTACCCCATGGCAAATTGAACTCTACAGCGCTAACAATAACCTACTTAACTAACGCGAGAACTTCTTTCTTGGACACTTCCATCCTGTGTGAAGTTCTCCTTTGGGACGGGATTGCAACTTCGAGAATCAAAATCTAAACACAGACCGTAAACAAAGGAAAGAGAAGGAGAATTAAAATAATAGAACTACTTTTAGTAGTTTCAAAAGATTGATTTACATGTCATTTAACAACACCTGAAAGCAATGAGTAATGCAGTAACGTGATGGGGGAAAGCACTAGGTAGAAAATTATTCAAGCGTTTCGGGCGTCCAGCCAATGTTTGAATGCTCGGGCGTTTGAGGCGACTTCGATGCGAAAGAGTTAAGATAAAAGGGAAATCTCCCATGACCTGTAATTAACTGATTCAAGTCAATAACATTGTTAATATTCATATTTTTCTTAGGAACAAAAATGAACGTATTATTTTTATCAGAGTTTTCCCACTGAGTTCGCCATTTATCCACAATGTCACACTTCATAATGTTAATGCATCTGCTCTTGGAGGTTTGTAGATCGACAGTTTCAATATCATTACTCATTGTTGCTTCCTTTGCTAAGACATCCGCTATCTCATTGCCCAATGAGTTACCAGTATCAAAACTTGCGTTTCTTTTGTGTAGCTCTTTAAGTGGACTAAGTACAAAAAAGCTGCAGAATGAACTGACAGTGATTAAATGGCAGTCTTACCAGGTCAAAATAATATACATTCGAGGTTCAGTCTTGGTGCGTGAAGGGTGCAGTTGCTCCTCGCTCCCTATTTTTTGACTACCTTGATTTGTTTGCATTTTAGTCTTTGTGTTATATGTTTGATCAGATAGCCTGGCTCAGTAAAAGTAGCCGGCCAGTGTAAATCTGATTCAAAATCCGGTTAAGACCACGTGTGTGCTGATAACGACTACGTGCTTCTGAGACTCCTTTGCCAATGCTTTATTTTTCTTCTTTTTCCTCTTTCTAGTAATTTCGTTCTCCTGATGAGGAGGGACCATTAGCTGTCCTCGAAATCGATTGAGTGTTTTAACATATGTACGCTAAATACAAGGGTGTTATTGCGATTTTAATATACATCATTCTTAAATTGAAATATTTGATTGTAGGTGTGTAAAAATATTTTCCGTTTTCTAAAAATAAAGTATTTTTCCTGCAGTTTTGTTAGGACACCCTACATTATCTTCTTTCATTTGCTCTGATTGCAAAGATAAAAGAATGCATTTACAAATCCATTCTAATTACTAATCTTTTAAAGAATGATATGTATTCATTTTTATGATAATATAAACATAACACTATACAGTTTCATTAGGTATTCAGTCAGTGCCACCGAGGTATTCTCAATCAGGCATGATTTATTAAGTGTTTTATGTTTCCTATTATATTGCTACCAATTCTGTACATAGATAGAAGATTTTAGGGCAATTATATGTGAAATGTGAATTTACTGTATTTTGCTGGGTAATGTAACGCAGTAAATCTTGAGAGAGAAGCTAAGCCGAAAAAAAAAAGAAAAACAAATACAAAGGCGTCGGTTTTCTCGCTAAATTTGGCGACAAATCAAAAAATTCGCCAAACCTGGCGACTATTTGGCGACATTTACGTCTGTATCATCGTAATAGCATTGTAATTGATTATTATATTAGCTACAACAATATTCGACCCTGATATTGCCTTCCAGTAATTTCGTGAAGGAGAAAAGCTCAAGATATAACAGTGATAAAAAAAAAGGAAAAGTGTTATATTGACACTATGCTCTTTACATTAATGAAAAGTGAAATAAGTTATTTTTGTATATTTGTTATGTAACTGGTTTTTATGTCCTGGAAAACTGTCTCAACTTTCTTATTTGTTTTCGTTTCAGTTCTAGAAACATCAGAATTTTTTCGCAGCAGAAGTCATGAAAAAGTGGCAACACCTTCGCAGGGAATCGAACCGTAAACCTCTGGAATACGCGCCCAGCGTTCAGGCCACCACACCACGAAGGCATGCCAAGAAGTCGGGAGAAATACCTTATACAGTTATAAAAATGCTGTGTAAAATGTCTATAAGGTATTTTCTCGCTTTTTCCGCATGCTTTCGTAGTGGTTTTGGTTTTTGGTTTTATTAAATTACGGCAAAGCACTCGAGGGCTATCTGCCTTAAAAGCAGATCTTAAAGAGGACCTATCTGTCTTAAATAGCCTTCGTGGAGGACTTTCTAAGAGAAACTGGCTCGTATAAACGTTACACATGGGAAAAACCACGAAAACGCCAATGCAGCCAGCCCGTCCGCGGGATTCGAACCTCGGACCGAACTACCAGGTTTCAGCTACGTTACCGCTCGGCCGCTGGTGGGCTGCTTTCGTGGTGTATCTGGAAGCAAGCTCAAGGCGTATTCGGGAGGTCCGGAGTTCGAATACCGGTAGGGCACTCAGGATTCCTTCAATATCATTACTTCAAAAAATTCTAAAAATGATAATAAAAATGTCTCTCCATGTCTAATTGCTGTTGCTTTCTAGAATTGGGTATTAAAATGACTGTTGCTTCAGTTTTCATTTCCAGTTTTTAAATTCAAAATATTTATAGCTCCTCGCTAATTACTTGGATAAAAATATAAATTTAAGAAAAAATTTAAATTTTAAATAATTTCCGATACACAGTCTCATGGGCTCTAGATATTTTTTTTTCGTACAGTGTTGCCATTGCTCTCTTTGAAATCGTTGATTATGTTAGTCAAATATTCGTTAAAGTTGTACAAAATATGAAATCGATAATAAAACTGATATAATAGACAGAAACGATAATAAATTCAATTTCCAAATTAACTTCCAGATGCTCATATTCTGGTGGAGGACTACGTTATTCAAAATGTGATGTCTCTAGGTAGCGTAGTTTTGCGTAGTTGTTTTTCACAATGCGAGACACATACATATATTCGTGAATATTTCTCATTACTTAATTTCTTTAAATATAATACAGGGTGATAATATTTGGTGGCAACAATTTGAAAAGTGAACCAACGCATTTAAGGTTTCAAGGCAGAATGCCAAAACGAAATTAATAGCCCTTCTGGGCTAATGCCCTTTTGGTTAACAAAGAATGTTCAAATATCCTTAGCTGAGAAAAGAAATAACAATTATATGGCGGAACGCAATTTTCTCACTTCGAAATCGTAACTATCGCCTGCAGGCAAATAATATGCCGAAAGGAAATTTGACAGAAAAATAAAGCTAGCTGTTGGAAAACTCATAACAATAGTGAGCAGCTGAAGTGAACAAAATGAATATTCTTTTCAGATAACAAATGTATTGTCACTGCATTAGTGATTGCAATACTGGTACACCAGTGTGGGAGTCCTCCTGGACTTTGTTCATTCAGTCGGTTCTCCAGTAAAAAGCGTAAAAATGAAATGAGTAATCAATAGAACACGCAATCCACCTAAGTACTTAAAATAAACACGAAAGTATTTGAAAACATGGGCGCATTTTCTCCTTTCGTTTTAATGTTCTAAACGAAAAAAAAATACATTACTGCCAACTGTTAAAAATAACTTTTAGGAAAATTGCATTTATACACTCATTGAGTTGTCCTCTACATCTCTTCCCACCTTTTGATTTATGGTGGGTGGAACATAAATCAAAATAAAATCAAATAAATACAACACTATACTTAGAAAAATTGAGGAAGAAAAACTGATTATAATGCGAAAGTTTTAGAATTGTCTCCTACCACAACTAGTTTTAATTATCTAATCGAGAGTATAAAGTGAATGTTTTACTAGCATGAGCATTAAATTGTTTTTGTTTAGGTGAAAACAAGTTCTTATCGTCCCTCACTTCCGAAAGGATCTATTATCGGGTACGATGACACTGTAGTTTATGATAATTAATTCTTTTAAATTTAACAAAGGAAAAAACATTAGTGTTTGATATGAAATAATTTTAAGTATTTTTAAAATATATTAAATTAATCTGTATGCTTTTTCCCATAGTCCACTGATTTATGAAGAAGAAAATTTAATTTAGCATTGCTATGCAAAAATATTTTACTATGCAGATTCCTAACATTTTGATGAGATGAAAGAAATAGCATTCCATATTGATACTGTACTTTCAGAAAATGTATTTTTTGTTGCATCTGAAGAAGCATTATAACCATAAAATGAAGATCAACAATA